TTCATTCCTGGCGCGCAGCAGGCACAAGCGGCCGAGACGACGATACGAGGAGATTGAGCGCATGTACAAGTGTGGCTGGCAGGGTTGTGAGAAGGCGTATGGTACTCTGAACCATCTCAATGCGCACGTCACCATGCAGTCGCACGGCACGAAGCGAACTCCTGAAGGTATGCACCTACAACCTCCATCTTTGCCCTGTTCTTCACACCATCCCTGTCGCTGTTCTATGCGGGACGCGCAATGTGGGGGCTTTCCTGTTGGGCCCCTGTTGAAGAGCGCGCCGAGTAGTGTGTCCAGGCGTAAAATTGAGACTAGCTTCTATGGGCGACCCGAGCTACGGGGACTTGGGTGATGAAAAGGCCAGAAGCTAATGCGTGACTGCAGAATTCAAAGAGATTCGTAAAGAATGGAAGCAGCGCAAGAAGGAGGAAGAAGCTGCTCGCAAGGCCGAGGACGAGCAACGTCGTGCGGCTGCTGCTGCTGCGGCAGCGCAAGCCGCCCAAAACGGTGGCCCAGACCCTCAGTCCGGGCCCGACGGTGGCCCTCCTTCGGGCTATGGCGGTGGCCGTCTGCCCCCGATCGGCTACAGCCCCTCCTATCCTCCCAACGGTCCTCCCTCCGCCGGCGTCCCTCAGCAGCAACCGCTGCCAGAGTACAACGGCACACACATGTACCAACCCGCCAACTACCAGGCGCAGCCTCCGTCGCCATATGGCCAGCCGAGCCAGGGCATGTACTCTCAACGTAAGTTGGTTGCAGCCACATCCCCTTCCCATGAGCAAGGAGGCGCACGACCGAGAAGGCTAACCGTGCAGCCAGACAACGGGACGCAGCCTGGGCAGGGCCACTAGGAAGAGCCTGAGCCTAACGTTGAAGAACCCCCGGCGGGAGGAGAAGAGCGCAAGCAGTAATGACGGAACCCCGCCATGGGGGGCATTGTACATTATCGGATTACTTCTGCTGACGACGCCCTCCAATCCTGTTCACATGTTCATGTACCGACTTTCCTTTGACGTTTACTAGACGTTGCCGCGCGACTTATCCGACGCGCAGCCTTCCTCACGGCATGAGCAAACCATCGCCCTCTTTGCGACGGGCGTTGGACTGCTCAAATCGGCGGCGAGCATTTTTCTCTTCCCCTCCCATAATGATGGTTTCTCGTTCCACTTTTTCGGGTTTCCCCTCCCCGTCTTGGACGCGCCAGGAATGGGTGGGTGCGTTTGAAATTCTTCACACCAGGGTTTTGATGCATTGGGGGGGTCGGCTGGCCGGTCTGATTTTCTTCCGTCACTCTTCGCTTCTCTTCCTGGACAGGCGTCGGCGGCACGGCAAAATG